ATGACTTATCAAGTGGGACAAGTCTAATTTTTGTCTATATTGACATTATTCAATACCAAACTGTTGGTGATGCAAAGGCTCCATTGTTACGCGTCATTGATTCAAATAGACGCATCAAAAACGGTAGTGCCTGCAGCATTGAACCTAATCATCGAAAAAACTTCACTAATTTAGACTACAAAAAATTATTCACTTCATCTGTACAATCAATATCGGTACAGTTGCGCACAGAAACTGGAAGACTAGTGCCCTTTGCAGGAACTGGTAAAGTTGTGTTGACTCTAAAATTCAAGCGCTTTGATTGAAAACCAATGGAACAATATTATGCAAAGCAAGCTTCACTTCCTCATTTCTCTGGACACTACCGACAACGCGGCAGTGGATTTGGCGCTTTGGCTGCTGGTATTGGTCGTGTTGCTATACCGTTTGCACGACGGGTTATTCTACCGGCTGCGAAAAAACTGGGCAGAGAACTTTTGATGAGTGCAGCGCCAGAACTAATTGATGTCGCTATGAAAAAGAAGTCTCCTAAACAAGCATTGAAAAACACTGTCACAAAAACTGCAAGAAAACAACTCGGTGGTGGTAGACGACGTCGTCGAAAGACACCAATGAATGGATTACGAAGAAGAAGGTCAGTAGGGGCTCGAAAAAGAAAAACAACCATTCGAAGAAAAACCAGACCAGTGAGAAGTCGAGCAGATTTTTTCTCGAACATCAAAAATGATCGCTAATTTGTTACCCAATGAAGCTACCCATAGCTCTCTGGATTTGTTTGAAAAACAACCTCTTTTGATTACTTTTGAAAACGCTTTTGATCAAAAAATTGGACCTGTCTATTCACCCAATGGACCAATGCTTGAATTTGAAATCACCGGTGACCGTAATAATTTTGTTGACCTGCAAAAAATTTATTTGGAAATACGATGCAAAGCAACGCAATCAAATGGAGCTGATCTGCGATACGACAACACTGATCCTACTGTGTCTGATTCACCGTTCCTCGTAAACAACTCCCTGTATTCCCTTTTCTCTGACTGTACCCTCTCTGCTAATGGACTCAAAATTTCAAATGCCAATAGTAATTTTGCGCATAAAAGCTTTATTGGAACAGAATTTTCTAACAGCAAAGGAGCCAAGGATTCATGGCTTAAGTGTCAGGGATATCGTTTTGAAAACAATCCCGCTGCAATAGATGCAGCTGATTTCACATCTCAACGAGAACTGGTCCGTGAATCGAGGGAAATTTGGTTCTATGGACCCGCTGGAGTTGATTTTTTCACATGTGACAAACATTTGTTGAGCGGTGTTACCCTCAGACTTTCTTACAGACGTTCTCATGAAGACTTTCTCATTATATCGGAAGATGCTGCCAAGCATTACAAGCTGCAAATACTCGAAGCGAACCTATATGTTAGAAAAATGACTGTGACCGACCATGTGCTCTCTGCCATTGAATCAACTTTGCTCAAAACTCCTGCGAACTACCCATATCAAGAAGAAATTACAAAAACATTTCTTGCAACAGCTGGTCAGCGCAGCTGGCAACAGGAAGACATTTTTGCTCGTGAACCGGTGAGACAAATTATAATAGCATTGAACACAAATAATGCATTTCTAGGAACAAACCGAACGAATCCTTTTCATTATCAAAAGTTTGGATTGGAGCAAGTTACCTTGAGACGGAACGGTTTACCAATAGCAAGTACACCAATCAGTACACAAGATCATAAACGTCTCTTCTTCAACACACTATCAGCGCTAGGTTTGTTGCACTGCGGGCTGGGAATCACTCTGGATAACTACCAACAGCACTTTATTATGTGTTTTGATCTCACTAGCACACAGCAGGCAGCTCATGACTTCTTGCATCCAGAACTTACTAACTGCTCAGTTTCACTCGATCTTCAATTCTCAAACGCGTTGACAGCAAACCTTGAAATTTTTGTTTGGGGTATACGCTCATCCAATGTATTTATTACCTCCGACCGCAAAGTTACAAAGAACGTCCTTCCAATTTCGACCGTCTAAAAATGGATAAAATTCAGTTGCAGGATCTCATTCAGAACTGTAAACATCTGAAATATAAGTTTCTTGGAGTATTTGCAGCGGACAATTTTCCACCTCACATCCAAAACAATATCTTTATGATTGTGAACACTTCAAAATCAGATTCTCCGGGGACACATTGGATTGTGATATGCAACAGAAGAAATGTTTTATACTTCGCTGATCCTCTCGGTCTTCCTCTCTGGCAGTACACCAATCTGTATAAACGATTGAACGAGAATTTTCATCAAGTGACTGAAGTAATGACAAATTATCCCATGCAAGACTCAAACTCTACCATGTGCGGTTCTTTTTGCATTTATATTGCACATTTGATTTATGATAAAAACTTTAATGGTGATGCTTCTGATTTTGCTTACATAAATGATCATGTTTTGAAACGTTTTCTAACTCACATGCTTTCTCATTAACTAACTATTTTATATGGCTGTTTTGTACACTTTTCAATTTCATTTTAAACATTACATTTTTTAGTAATTGACATTTTTACCCAATTTTTAACTGAATAGCAGTAATCCGAGAAGTTAGATTACTATAGAAAAAATACAAAATCGATCTATGGGGGGATATCACCATACCAGCTACTGTTGCCTCCTTTCTGTACAATTTCCGGACGGGTTTCGAAACGCCCCCTTTCGGCTGAGAGTCGAGCGCCATGCGTTTTCCTCTACTCGGACCCCAAGAAATTTTGTTCCACTTCAATTTTATAGTAACAAGTTAGGTACAAGTTTTGATAATATTTCTGGGCACTTTTGGCTTTCATCAGTGTTCTTTTCAAGATCTTAACCCACTACAACTTATTAGCTCTTTCAACCTTTCTATAAAATCAAAGCTTTTGTCATAGATTTCAGACGTTTATTTTTCAGTCTTCTGTAGACACGGAAAATGGAAATGTCGAAATTTTCAAGCCAATTTCATTATTTTAGAGTTTTCAGTGTTGCAAAATTTTTCTTTGTTTTTTACTTTCATTTGGCTTAAAAAAACTTTTCATTCTTATTTCGGTCAAATTGATCATTAGCTTTTACCTAAATAGAGGTGGCGGCCGCCGCAATTGAAGAATTTTCCTTTCTTTGAGATTCAGCAATAAAACATGCATTTTTGAAGGAAATCGTTCACCGCAGCCAACAGTTAAGCTACGCTGCCAAAATCTGGTGCTTTCCTATTACATATAATAGGTATATAACGTCCTTTTACATGTAAACAAGCCAATACCCCCAAACTTTAGAAGGGAAAATATAAACCGACCAAAACTTAATTCCATTCCCGTTTCCACAACGTTCAGTGGGAATACTCAATAATTTACCGAAGTTTTACATAGGGATCATTAAGTATAAAAATTATACATTGGGATCATTAGGTATAAATATTTTACATAGGGATCATTAGGTATAAATATTTTACATAGGGATCATTAGGTATAAATATTTTACATAGGGATCATTTGCTATGAAAATTATACATAGGGATCATTAGGTATAAATATTTTACATAGGGATCATTAGGTATAAATATTTACATAGGGATCATTAGGTATAATCTATACCCAATGATCCCTGTAGGGATCACCCCCCCCCCCCCCGATTCCAGTGTCGTATATCTATACTACTATATATTTGCTTCAAAAGTTTTCTATCCAGTTAAGAAGCCATTGTTGGGCAAGGGTTAGACTCGATTTTCAACTGTTTAATTTTTAGACGCAATCATCTATCGGTCTCCTTTATAATCAGTTAAAGTTAGCAATAATTTTTTTACTGCCCCTGATTGCTAATTTCTTTACTTTTCGATTGCCAGGAACGTACTCAACTAAATTACAAACTGTTGAAGCTGTTTTTGCTGATTTCAAATATAAAAAAATGCTCGTATCAGGACAAAACCCTGAAAGTTCCGACTGCCTTTTAAAGTCTCTGGAACAGTAGTATCCAGGAAAAAAAAATTTAATAAAAACGAAAAAAAAAATAAAATTTGAGATCATCCCCCACACGCCATATAAAGCTCAAAGTGATATATTTTGCTCCTAGATCAAATCAATTAATGCAAATAAGCTTCCTTCAACCAATTTGGAACAATTTCTAAGACGGATGAAATCTCCGCTTGCGCGTTAATAGCAAGCAATATATCGCGCGTTAATGGTCCCAAATCGGCCAAAACTTCAACGTTACGAAAAATTATCACAGGTGAAATATCTTTTTAAATTTAGGATCAGGACAACAATAACTTTTGAATAATATAAAAATTTCCGTCAATTTTGGCCAGTTTGAAAGTCGAAATATGTCTGAAAAAAAAACGCACCGCGAGCACAGCTATTTCGTTACTTTTGTTACGAAAGTCGAAACAACAAGACTGCTCGTATCAGGGCGAATGTTCCGACTGCTCTTAGGGTCTATGGAGCAGTTATAACATGAAAAAAGTGAAAAAAAAAATGAAGAAAATATGTTTTCAAGTTTGAGACTTTTTGCCCGCACGCCATGTAAAATACGCCCGCACGCCATGTAATGTGATAGATTTCGCTCCTTGTAACAAATCAATTATGATAAATAAGCTGCCTTCAATCAGTTTGGAATGATTTCTAAGAGGGATTAAATCTCCGCTTACGCGTTAATCGCGCGAAATATATCGAGTTAATTGTCCCAAATTGGCCAAAATGGCAAGTTTTAAACCCCCATAAGATTATGAAAAAACAATCACAATTGAAATATCTTTTCAAGTTTGACTTCAGGACAACAATATTTTTTGAATGATATTTAAAAATTCCGTCAAAAATGGCTAGTTAAAAAGTCGAAATTTGTCTGACGAAAAAAACCCACCCGAGCGCAAATAATTCGTTTCTTTCGTTACGAAACTTGGAATAATAAAACAATCATTAATGGTTATTTTTGCGTTTAGATGGCGACAGCGTTTACACATACTTTCAATCTGTTTTGTTTTTGTAGGCTTCCTGGAAAGACAGTAGACTGGAGAGCACATGGCTTATGATTCACGAAAATATCCACGGCTCCAACCACAGCGAATGTTCCGAGGATATGTGCGACAATCGCATAACTATGGGACGAGATTTCGCAGATGTTATATGGAAGCCCGATTTCTACTTTCAGGTAATTTCGCAGATGTTATATGGAAGCCCGATTTCTACTTTCAGGTACTTTCAGGAAAATTCAAAAAAAAATTGTAAGCGAACTCAGAAACAGTTTCATGGCAATTTAAGTAGTAGTATTGGTTTTCAGGCGGAAAATTCTCCATGAAAGACAAGAACATAAAAAACGAGCGGAAAACTTCCAGTTTTCCAAAAAAGTAATTTTTTGGCTCATCAGTTAAACAATTCCGCTCAAAAATGGCCCTGACAATTTTCGGAATGTGTGAAAAAAAGGCAATTTTTTCTTTTCACTTTTTTCGCTTTCCGATTAATGAAATCTTTTCACCAACGCCTCCCGGCTTTTAGAAAACTCTGACATTGCCATGCATTAATTGTGACAATTTCTATCTACCAATGGTCCATTTTCCTAACTTCAGCTTTGATGGCTTTTTCTGTTCCCTAGAATCATATGTGTGACTCGTCTATACAACGTTGCCTTGGGTTAATTTGTCCCTAAAGTGGAACTCTGTAACATTGTTTTGCCACTTGAACAACTTGAGGAACTTTTTAAAGGCATTTTTTGAAACTTTAGATTACCAAGTCTAATATTTTACGTTTATCAAATAAGAAATTCAACTAAGCAAAATTACGAGGCCAATCTGGGTACTTTGTAAACTGTAAGCGGATTCCGCAACAGGCCGAAAACTGAATTCTCGCAGAATCCGCGACATTGCTAGTTGTCTAAAATCTTCTGGCTTCCATAACCAATATTTAAAACACTGGGTTACTCAAACTTGCTCCAAAAACAGGCAAAATTTCGGAATCCGCAGCAAAATTTACGGAATCTTAAACAACTTGTGGAATCCAATAACAAATATAGATTCAATAGATTATAAACTACATTTTGCGGAATCTGCTTGCACTTGCTATATTCATTTGATTACTGAATCCGCAACAAAACTGATATGCCGATAACATTTTCATTACAAGTAGTTGTGCAGGGAATCCATGAAAAATTGGTTATTGGAAAGAACATACATCAAGGAACGTTTAAAGATTTGTCTCTGGATTCCAATCATCTGCAAATACAGAATTTTGAGTTAATTAGGTAAATTTGCATACTGCTTATTGCATTTTTGCAGCCTTGTAAGTTTTGTGGTTAAAAAATTTGACTCAATGCCCATAGGTACGGGTTTCATTCCCACTGGGAGCATTTATTTGTTTTGAGAAGACTTGTGAAAAGTTGGAAAGCAAATCTGCGAACTATTGTTAAAATCACTGGTCACTGTTTTGACCTACTACTTAATTTGATAAGATTTTTTATTCCGAGAAATTCGTTATTTGACGACAGATGATTTGTTTTTTGACTCATTCCTCACCCACAACTCATAGTTCTGCCGAGGAATACATTATTATTCTTTTTATAAGTTTTTTGTTCATCTCAACCCATTCATAGGTAGATAATGAGGTAGAAATTGAATCTAAATAATCTTTGAAATAGTATTTGCGGATTCCGGAACGTATTTTGGAATCCAAAAACAAATATATAATCCTTATATTACAAACATTTTTTTGCGGAATCCGCTTTTACATGATGAAACCTGCTACAGTTTGCGGAATCTGCTTACACTAGCGCAATCGAGACCAACCAGCTATATTCGCTTTTTGCGATATTCGCGACAAAACTAATGTGCCGACAAAATTTACATTACAGGTATTTGTGAACGGAATCCATTTATTTTTTTGGACCATGTTTAAAGACTTGTGTCTGGATTCCAGTGACGTGCAAACACAGAATTATGCATTTTTGCAGCCTGATAAGGCTTGTGTTAACTCAGTTGACCCATTTGCTCAGGTTTGAGAAAGTTTGTTTCTTAACAGATGAACATGATTTGACTCATTCATCACAACTCATAAACTTTTTCATTGTACGGATTTTTGAAGTTGAGGTTGAGCTCTACATAAGTTTGGCTACAAAAAACTGAAAGAAAGAAAGAAAATGTCCTGCTAAATTCATGGCAATTGCTTCAAGAGGAATATATTATCATTCTTTTTATGTGTTCTTTTTAATGATCTCAACCCACTCATAGGTAGATAATGAGGTAGAAATTGAATCTAAATTACTTTTTATCAACGGCAATAAACCCCTATAACATCAAATGCAGAATAGATGCAGGGTAGAAAACTGTTTTTGAGCGGCGAGAGCGGTGTAAGTCATTTGACTCGATGGCCGTGGAGAAAAAAAGGTACTTAAAAAACTCAAAACAAAGTGTCTGACTAACTTTTTTGTCACCATATAAAAAAAATGGAGGACTAAAAATTGAATGGAAGTTTTGTTGTGGATGTGCGCTTGCAGAGCTTGAATAATTATGACAGGAAAGCAAAAAGCTGCATTTTTTTCAATCATGGCTTTATTTTGAGTCGCCATTTTTATATGTACTGTTATTTTCTGAATACATAATTGTTACAAAAAAATTTTCAACGAATAAACCGGATAAAACATATCATTTGATTGCAAACAATTTTTAAATTATGCTTCACATAATTTAAAAATCTGGAAATTCACTTGTCTACTTTGCCAGAAGTCAAAAAAACGTTCGTTATCGACTGTTTTTATTGTGAACAAATATTCCAAAACTTGAATAAACTTAATGGATAAGTAACAGCTAAGTGTGTTATAAAAGAGGGAGAAGACAGTTTTCTACTGTTGCAATTGAAAAGACTTTATCTGTTTCGTACTCACAGACTTAGTTTGAAACGTCGAATTCCGTTTTCTTCGAAAGTCGGAAAAATAACAAAACTGATCGTGTCGGCAATTATAAGTCGAGAAAAATATCAATCCGATTACATGTTTTCCGTCATTTTCTTCAAAATGGTCGGGACAAAAAAACCAAATGGTGGTTTCTGTTAACTTCTTATGCCAGTAAAGTTAATTGGCATATTACTTTTGTTAACTATAAAAATTCAAGCAATTAGACTATTTTGACAGTGGAATTGAAAATTATTTGAGATAATTGATTTTTTACTGCAGGCTGAATTTTGTAATAAAGAAAAATTTATGAATAATTAATCCACACATTCACACTTCGAAAAACCAAACTGCAAGTACGAAATAAGCAAAAAAAAACGAGTCATTCAAAAAAGAATCTGTATGGCAATAGTTGTTTCCAATTAACATTTCCCTTATGATGACCTATTTTGCAATAGAAAAAAAAAAATTGTTGTTCAGCCCAGCATGATTAATTTGAATTGCTAAACTGCCTTCAGACTTACTTTTTGTGGTGACAAAACTTCGATATGAACAAGTTTTCCATACAACAAAACTGCTCGTAGCCAGGCAAAACCTCGACTGTTCCGATTGCATTTGAATTTAATAAATTTTAATTTAATTCAATAACTTTGAAAAAAATGAAAAAATTCCAAGATTTTTTGGAAGTTTTGTTTTAAATCCTTCCCCACACGTTATGTAAAGTACAAGGTGTTATAATTTACAAATTAGGCAATAATTATGCCTCAACCCAATTTGGAACGAGTTCTAAGGCCGATATAAAGTCTCCGCTTACGCGTTAATATCGCGTGTTAATTGTCTCAAATTGACCAAACTGGCAATCTTTAAACCCTCATATTTTTACAAAAATTGATCACAAGTGAAATATCTTCTTAGTTTTGAGATCAAGTCAGCAATTTCTTTCAAATGAAATTTAAAAATTTTGTCAAACATTGCTGGCTAAAAAGTCGAATTTTTGTCCGGAGAAAAAAAGTTGAAACAGCAAGTGAAATCATCAAAAAAAAATGGCTTCCGATACATGCTGTTTTAATTTCAACTACATTTGCAAAAAAAAGAGAAGCTTATTGCTAATCAAACACTCATCCTCGTTTGAAAACAACAAACTTCAGTTGCCATAAACAATCTGGATATTTTATCTGGGAACTTGTGAAAAATAATATATTTGATTTTGATAACAATTTTTTATGAGTCATTTATTTTTCCAAAAAACCTCTGAAATATTGTTTAGGCACACTGCAAAATTTGACACATCTTTTTTGTTCTAAGTTTCTGATAAGAAGAAAAGTATTACAAATACAGTATTTGTTCATTGACTCAACAGTTAAACC